AAAAAAAAAAAAAAAAAAAAGATTTTTGAACACAGTTATCTGTTTTTGCATATGAACTCTTCATTTTTTTTTGCATTTTTTAATAATTGTATTGATTATTATAATTATATTATTTAATATAAATTAATTAATGAAGTATTATTTAATTTTGTCAGCATAACACAAGTGGAAAACTGTCAACTAAAAAAGTATTTTTGCCTTTGTAGTGTTTACTGGGCAAAACTAAAACTATTAAAAATGGTTATTGTTAATTGAAATAAAGCTAAAATAAAATAAATATAAATATTAGATGAGAGACTTGCTGTTGTTGACTAAAATAAAAAAAAAAAAAAACAAAAAAAAAAATATATATATATATATATATATTAAAAACAGAAATGACAAAAGTTGCCTTGGCAATGAACTGTAATAATGTAAGTTGAAGTTGAAGTAAACCTAAAATAAATTTATTTCGAATACATTTTTAATATTGTACTGAAGTATAAAAAAATGAATAAAAATGACAAAAGCACATAAAAAATACTAAAACAAACTAAAATGAAAACAAATGATAAAAATATAAAGCTAATTCAAAAGCCTATAATAGCATAGGAATAATACTGAATTGTAAGTATGATCAATGTATTAGCACAGTCTCCTCAATAAGCTGCATGATGTGATTATTCTTAATCATATTCATAAGCGTAAGTACGAGCACTTGAAATAAAGATGCTTGTTTGTTTTTTGAATGTTTGTCCTGTTGCAGAGCAAGAAGCAGTACTATGACGGTGAGCTTGAGAGACTTGAGAAACAGTACCAGCAGCAAAGCAGCCAGATGGAGGCTGAGCACACATCCCGGCTCAGGGAGGACGCACGCAGACTCAAGGCCCAGCAGGAGAAAGAGCTGAGCCGCAAGAGCAGCGCACTGAAAGCGGACCCTAAAGAGGTACGGACTGCTGCATTTACCCACACTTGCACAGCATTAGGCTCAAACACATGAAGACAGTCACTCATGTGTGTCTATTTCTGCTTTAGGAGCAGCGGTTCCTGCAGAAGCAGCAGCAGGAGCTGAATGAAGCTCTGCAGAAGGGCGTTCAGGAACATAAGAGAAAGGTGGCTTCCATGGAGTGGGAGATTACTGTCAAATCTCAGCAGCTCAAGCGAGGTAAATATGCCACTGCTAATACACTTATTTATTATGTAATTTGCACCAAAATCACGGTTTATGGCATGTAGTTTATCAATCTTTAAAATACACTCTTAAAAATAAAGGTTCCAGAAGCTGGGTTTTCACAATAATGCCAAACAAGAACAATTTTGGGTTCCACAAAGAACCTCTTCATGAAGAGTTCTTAAAAAGAACGTCTTGGTTACGTATGGTAACCCTCGTTCCCTGAAGGAGGGAACGGAGACGTCACGTCGGATGACCGACGAATTGGGATCTCGCTTAGAGAGACCAATCTACTTCGAGTGTAAACTAAACGAGCCAATGCACATTGGCATGCGATTATTGCATCCAGCTGCTGCTGATCACAGCGTGAGTATAAGTAGGCAGCAGATGCAGCGCATATTCAGGTTTTCGCTGAGGAGCCGAGCCGCAATGGGAACATGACTCATCCGCGAACGCCACCTCAGCGTGTTTAATGCCCAGACATGTGAGGCAGCGATCGTGTCCATCACCCGGCGCCAGGTAACGACTGCGCCCAGAAACACACGGATGGTTCGTCATCTTTAAAAAGACGCGTCTTTAAAAAGACGTTCCATCCGTGAAGCTCTTTTAGATGGAATTTGCTCTTTTAGTGTGCTGAAGCGCACAGGGGAGATGGCCGTCTGCAACACACACAGGGGTAGTGCAGCCTGTTGTGTGCAACCCACTCGACATGGGAAAACCACCGCCGCAGAAGCGCCGTACCACCAGCATGAGAGCCCACGAAGACCGTGCTTGACTGTAGTTTTCACTACCGTAGACTTAGGTCAGGAGCAGAACGATAGAACCGCTCGGCTCCGAAGTGAAAAGCTGAATATGCGCTGCATCTGCTGCCTACTTATACTCACACTGTGATCAGCAGCAGCTGGATGCAATAATCGCATGCCAATGTGCATTGGCTCGTTTAGTTTACACTCGAAGTAGATTGGTCTCTCTAAGCGAGATCCCAATTCGTCGGTCATCCGACGTGACGTCGAGAGTGACCGACTGAAAGGGAACCATTTTTTTTCTTAGTGCAAAGAACATTTTAATAATCTGAACCAAGAGTCCTACATAAAATAAAATAAATGATCAGTTAATTAAATTAGAAATAAAAATGTAAATAAATAGCTTCTTAAACTTACAAATAAATGTTCTTAGATGTATGACAAATCCATGCCTAAAAATATAGTTAAATGTAACACTAAATAATAAATTGATATATATTTTTACAAATACAAATTTTAAATTGCATTAATTTGTCCATTTGAAAAGTAAATAAAATTAAGGAATCAGTAATCAAAAATGTAACAACAAATAACAAATTGATAAATCCTTTTTAAATGCAATTTTTAAAATGCACTGATTTGTCAAATTAAAAAGTGATGTATTTATTATTTTGATGTTACATTTAATGACATTTTAAACATTAATTAAATAAAAAGTTTTGGGGAAATTATTTATTGAGAATTAAATAGTTGGTATCTTTTACCAATAAAAAATAATTACAATATTTATATATTTATTTCTAGTTATTTTTTTCAGTTTGAGAAATTATTTGAATGATAACATTTTTTAATTAATAAATTCATAATTGATTCATTATTTTATTTTTAATGTGGTAAAATGTCCTCCATAGGTCATTCTGGTATTTTATGTGTACAGTAAATTTGCATGTACTGTGCATTGGAATAGTAGATAAATAGTGTGCATTGTACACATACTGTATACAGAAGAAGGTTTGGTAGTATGTCATTCTAAACATACTGTTTCCTTCCTTAAGCGCGTGAAGCAGTGATTTGGGAGTTAGAACAGCGCCATCTACAGGAGAAGTACCATCTATTCAAACAGCAGGTGAAGGAGCAGTACTCCCTGCAAAGACAGCAGCTGACCAAGAGACACAACAAGGTAAATTATGCAGCAACCCCCAAAAGCATTATCTTTATTTTTCTGTGCCTTACCCTGTCTTCTGTGGTTCTGTTCTCTCGTATGGTAGGATAAGGAGAGAGCGTCTCGGTTCCAGCAAGCTCTACTGGAGGAGCAGAAGTCATTGCAGGCCCAGGAGAGAGTATCCTTCCAGAAGGCCCAAAAAGCTGAAGCAAAGTCCTGTTTGAATCAGTTCAAGATGGAGCTCAAAAAGCAAGGTCTGAGTGGTCCAGAGCAGCGACAACGTCTCACACAGGTTTGGATTCAGAAGAAACAAAACATGTAGTAAATTAAACCTATACTTAATAAAACTGGTTTGCCCTCTCAGTTTTTGTCAGAGGAGGAGGCAAGACAGAAGCAAGAGAGACAGAGTCTTCAAGAGAGTCATGAGAACCAATTGAAAGTGGTGCAGGAACAATGTGATGCCAGTGCAGCTGAACTACAGCAGCTTCAGGTACATCCGCGTCAACTTGGGAACAGCCTTGCAGCGTTTTCATGTTGAGGGAATGTGATTCTCAGTGTCTGTGTGTTTGGATTTTAGAATGAGAAGCTCCAAATTCTTGTGGAAATGGAGAAGAAAAAGATCAAAGCTCTGGAGGATGAACACACTCTGGAGCTCAACGAATGGAGAGATAAGCTTGCGTGTAGAAAAGAGGTATTGGATGGAATAGTAAAAATGAGAGGTTTAAAGCTTTTTAATCGGGAAAAAACATGACGACTGTTGTATGTTTATGTTCAGGTGTTAGAGGAAGACCTCGCTCGTAGACGTAGAGAAAAAGAAGGAAACAGGAGACGAAGCAGTGAGCCGGAAAACCGGCATGCAGCTCGCCGTTCAAAGTTCTTCCATAATCTAAGCTTTTCCTGACAAAGTTAAGAAATACTCTAAACCCCAATGTCTTTATAAACCGTATATGTACACTACTTTTTGAAAGTTTCGGGTCACTATGATTTTTTTCTTTAAGAAATTATTTATTTTTTTGCATTAAATTGATCAAAAGTGACAGTAAAGGCATACAATGTTCATAAAATGAAAATCAGTTGTAATATTTCACACTATTACAATTTTTACTGTATTTTTGATGAAATAAACGTTGGTAAGAGACTACTTTTAAAAACATTATTACCGACCCCAAACTTCTGAACAGTAGTGTACAGTATGTATGTATGTATGTGTGTGTGTGTGTTTTTATGGGGCTAGTTGTCACATGGGTAAGTTATAATTATTTTATTAATTATTTTAGATTATTTTAGTTTTCAAATACAGTTATATTGTGAAAGTGGGTTTTTTTTTTTTTTTTACATTTTATTATATACATTTCTTTTTCCAAAAATGGTCCCATCATGACAAGTTATTCCATTTAATGTGACAACATTAACAAAGTTTGTTCAATTAATTGTATTGTTGTTTCATAGAAAATAGTAGCAAAGATAGTGTTTTGGTAGTTTTTAAAATTAATTCACACACACACACACACACACACACACACACACACACACACACACACACATATATATATACACACACACATTATATGTACAGAATATATGGACATTTGGGTTAAGTTGCAGAATATATTTTGTCTGGAGTTTATGTATTTTTGTAAATATGTTTAAAATCTGCTTAGTCATAATTCCTCTGTAAGTGTATCTTGTAGCCTGAAGATGAAAGTTCATGTGTAAATAAAATTTTGAAACAATTTTAGACAAATTGATTATTCAGATTATATTTCTTCTGGATGTGTGAGAAGTTTTTGAACAGTCATGGTCATGCACACAAAAACAGCATACCAGCCTGGGCTGTCTGTAAGGCAGCAGAGAAAATTATTACATAAAGCCACACCCCAGACCAATATCTGTCTCTTGACTGGAGTCAACATGATTTCTATTGAGCTGCTGAAGAGACGTGTTCTTCTATAGCAACCTCTTTATGGTAAGGTAAATGCTTTCATATTACTAAACATCTGGATGTATGAAAACTTGTAATGTGACATTTGAATTGAATACAACAAACGGGAACATAATATTAAAGGTAATTTAATACTGAAAATACTTATTTGATTTAATGCATTAAAATGTTATTCTGGTAAACCCTAATTTATATGTACATATGACCTATTACCCAATCTAAATACTAACCTTCAAAAAGGACATAAAAACAACTGAACAATAAAATAGTTTGTTAAAAATTGTAGTAATTTGTCATGTAACTTGAAGCTCATATAATTATGAATACTGATTTATTGCCTCTTTTAAAATCAGACCCTACTTGAAATATAGACAAAAATTGTCATACTGCAGGACCATTTAAATGACCTTTAATTTTATTAAAAATGACAAATTCACATAAATATTAACCTTATGTCTTAATGTTAAAATGATATATATGTTTTTCTATCTGCTCAAAGAAAAAATGCTTAAGATGTATGTTAACAAAAGAAGAAGGTCTAACCTTCAAACCTCCAAACATGAAATTGCTGATATTACATGCAACATTGACATAACATATTTAAAGGTTGCAAACATGTAATAGCAGCAATGATTATTCGTTCAAGATGTTTTATGTACAGTAACTCTTGTTGATTTTGTTCTCAGCGTTTATGTTTGAAGCAGTACAACATTATGGATAATATAATGAGTATGCTTACTTTAGGCTTTTACAGTATCTTTCATTTCAAGATCATTTTTTGGGGGTTACAATCTCCTAAAGTGTGTTATGGACACCAAATGGATAAGTTGAAAGTGCTGAAGGGCCATATTACTTGACAGGAATGCTTTCCTGTCCATTACTCTCTCGTGTTTCATCTCTTTGAAATTCCCGAATACTAAAGGGTCCTCCATTAGTGCTGTGGAAAACGCCTACTCAATTTTAATGACTTTATTTTCCAAACAATATGATGGATCTTTTAGATCTCTAATAAATGCAACTAAATGCCTAAGTGCATCTGTTTTCCAGCAATCACTTCCACAAGTATTTATAATGTTCACTCTTTCTCTCTTGTATACAGTGTCCATTAGGCTCTTGTCTTGTAATATGAAAAATTGCCTTTGCATTTCAGTAAGCTTATTTCTCTGAATTGTGTGCATATCAAATTTAAACTAACTCAGTGTGTCTCAATTTGTTAGGACCAAAATGGGGCAGTTAGGCAAACTTGCACTGTTTGTTTTGGTTCTGATGGCAGTGCTACACAATTCATCAGGAGGAAAGACAGGGGGTAAGAGCACCCCTTCCAAGAAGCCATCCAATAAGCCATCACAGGGGACCAAGACTCAATCTAACTATCCCAGGCAACCCTCCAATCCTGGTGCAGGAAGTAACCCAGGCTACCCCAACCAGCAGCATCCTGGTAGAGACACTAGTGGCAGCTATCCCAACCAGAATCCTGCAGGAGGGGGTTACTCTAACCAATATCCAGGTAGAAGTGGGTACAGCCCTGGTGGGTATCCAGCAGGTGGATCTTACCCAGTAAGAACTGCAGGACAGCCGGGAGGATACCCAGGAGGACACCCTTCCATTGGAGGGGGATATCCCAACTGGAACCCCGAAAATAAGATCCTCAGTCCACGCTATGGAGGCTCTTTTGGAGGTGGCAGGTTTGGAACGGGTGGCTCCCCTTTCTCCAATACAGTGAAAAGTATGGGCTATGGTCCCTCTGCTAAATCCAAAGGCTTCGCAAAAAAGGCAATGCTAGCAGCAGGCATTGGAGCAGTGGCAGGAATGGCTGTAGGCTATGGAATCGGAAACTTTCCACGCCCCAACTTCCAATTCAGGAGCCCTCAGGAGGAACGTCAATACAACCACTATATGTATGCACGTCAAGGCACTCATTCTAAAGACAGAAATAACAAAGAAGGACCCAACTACACATCAAAGCAACCATCCCAGGCTCAGTCATATGAGCAATACATGAACACATGCATGAAGCGAAAAGATCTTCTAAAAGAGCAGGAAATGACAGATTCTGCAGATCGCAAGAACATTCAAAGAGATGAGCCACTGACTGACATTGCAGCTGTGAACGACACCACATCCCCTATGACTGTCAATGATTATCCAAAGGCTGCTGCAATTCGTGAGGATGATGATGATACAGTGAGTATCATGCAGATTGGTTATCCAGCTCTCATTGAGCAGATGAAATCTCGGAAGTGTGTTGAGCTGTATTTGGTTTACTCTGAGAGCTTCACGGAGAAGCAGAAAGAAGATAACAAGGACAAAAAGGGAAGAAAAAATTTCAGACCTTCCAATAACCACAATGGACACCGTGTCTCTGGAGTGCTTCTGTTGCTCACTACTTTTTTTATGCTTCTTAGTGGCACTTAGTAGTGCTGTCAACATATAATATTATATATACTGTATATATATATATATAATATAAATTATATGAATATAAATATATACATGTAAATATGTTCGAAATATATGCTGTATGTGTGTGTATTTCTATATACATAAATGTGCACAGTACACACACATATATTATGTAAATAAAAACGTCTATTTTGGGTGCGATTAATCGCGATTAATCGTTTGACAGCACTAATATATATATATATATATATATATATACACACACACATATATACATAAAGGAATGCATTTGATCCTTCACAATGACCCACCCCCCTTCATTACTGCTATGTCCAACAAGCCATGGCACTCTCACACCAAACGTCATGTTCTCACGCAATGAAAAATACATGGCAGAGCAATGAGAAAACTGACAAGTGCTGACAGACAAGACACAGAAGGTTACTTTTGGTATGAAACAAAGTTTCAGCTTTCAAATTTGGTCATTTTTTAAGAAATTCAAACAATAAATACCGTTTTGTGGCTCTTTAATGTGTCGTGACAGATCGCTGTAGCGCCTCAGTTCAAGCAGCAGGTGATGTGATAATCTCTTACACTATACTAGTTATGGCATGAAATAAACATGAATGAACATCAGAAGGTATCTTGTTTCAACCACGTAAAGACATCAATATGCACGATTTTTCAAGTTCTAGTCCACCGTTAATCTACTCTCCTGTCTAGTTTGTTTGTCAGACAAAAATGGCAGATTCAGTGTTATGATTGGCCAAATTGCCTGTCAGTCAAACTCCCTGCGAAGGGTCAATTGCCCTTCCTTTCCACTCTCTCAGTCTAGGAATCTAAAGGTGAAGTTACATTTTAAAATTTGAGTATATTATCAATCTTGACTGAAAGTTTTGCTTTTCTGCTCAAAATGTAACAAGTCTTTTTTCTCACTGGCTGTTTAAACGTACAGTACAAGGCAAATACAACGTATACTGGACATTTGCATTTAATGAATGTATTTTGTTATAAATAATTTTATAAAATACAAAACTCTTATTATTATTAATATTGTTATTATTATTATTAATATTATTATTGTTATTATTGTAGTAGTAATAGTAATATTTCTGGGAAATAAAAACTAAATTGTTCAAATAAAATGTTCACTGATTAATTTATAGAAATGTAATATTATGGATATATTTAATTATATAGTAACCATTTATATTATTTAAAAAACATAAAAACAACAACAACAATAATACATTTTTTATTTTTATTAGCTGATAAATTAATTTATATTGATTATTTATTTAGTATTATTTAATCATATCTTCATATATTACAGTAGTTTTCTCCAAATGTTCTTTCCCTTATGAATGTGTGGTGTACATTGAATTCTACAGTAGGAAAACAATATATGTTTTCAATATTTTATAGATCAAACAATTGCTGGTCTGTTTAAAAGCTAGCAAAATGAAGACCATTGCTAACATCACAGAGAACACTGAGGCCTTCACATGATACATGCAGCACGTTGCTACGAGACCAGGCCATTCAGAAAAAGAACGTCATGATCAGGAGGAAACAATTGGAGGTTCAGCAAACAAAGTAAGTAAGTAAGTAAATTTTATTTATATAGCACATTTCAACATAGCAAAGCTATCCAAAGTGCTTAACAATGTAAAATAAAATTAAAAGAGAAAAGGAAACACAGAAAAGAAGCAAACAAGACAAGTGAAATTAAAATGCTAAGGAGAAAAGATACGTTTTCATCCTCGATTTAAAAATGGTAATGCAAGGTGCAAGGCAGCAGTCTAGAGGCAATTGGTTCCACAGACGGTGGGGCAGTGACTGAAAAGGCTCTGTCACCCTTAGTTTTCAAACGGGAACGAGGGACAGATAAAAGAGCCCTGTCAGTGGATCTTAAAAGTCTGGTAGATGACAAAGGGATAATAAGATCTTTAAGATAAGATGGAGCTTGATTGTTAAGAGCTTTAAAAACAAACAACAGAATCTTAAACTGAACTCTAAAATGGACCGGAAGCCAGTGAAGCGAAGCTAAAATTGGAGTGACATGGTCATATTTCTTTGCCTCAGTCAGCAGCCTTGCAGCTGCATTTTCTACCAACTGGAGACGTGAAAGCGATGACTGAGAAAGACCTGAGTACAGTAAATTACAGTAATCTAAACGTGAGGTAATAAAAACGTGAAAAGCTATTCACCGCTTGAACTGCTCAACCTTACTGTGACAAGCTGCTCTATGTTGTAAACAACCACCTTATGGAACTGTCACTCACTCGACAGCAGCGAATGACCAATCAGGGATGCTGAACAGCCCCGCCCAGTCGAGAACAAAGGCACAGCAGAGAATGAATTGCAGCCTGGTACTAGTCTGGCTTTTACTCATTTTAAAGCAGTTTCTATTCAGATTTACATCCCATTGCTTCTACACTCTATTTTACCCTTGTGTCTATTATCCCTGGCCATTAAGTTCAGTAGCAGATCAGTGCTTAGGAATTAATAAAATACATTAGGAGAGATCACAAGTCTTTATTCCACATGGAAAATTAATATATATTTTTAAATGTCATGCCTAACAATGTGGAGCTATGGGTTAATGTAGTGTGGCATAAGATGTGTCCTTGCTGAATGGACTGTTTTTATTTTATTTTTATCTCTACTGCATATACAGACTCATTCAAATGTTAAAAAATATCAGAAGTATTAAATGTATTATACTAGGAACAACTAAAGGGATCAATAAAAGGTTATGAGAGCTTTTACTGAGGTAAATATGCATGCAAGTTCACTGAAAATAAATTCAGTAATTGTCTCAATGTTTTTATTATCAAGGGCAAAAATGTGCACATACACTGTAAAATACATTACAAACAAAAGATATTAAATACTTTTAATACCAATACACATGACAAATAATCTGCAATTAAATAAAGCAAATACATTAGATTTTATTTTTCTTCACATTGTCTATTTATTCACACAATACGTTATATCAAATTTTGAATTACCATTCTTACAGCTTATTATTATTATCATTGTGCATGAGTGAAAGTCAAACAATGTTACATTTTTTGACCCATTTGCTTTCCTTTGTAAAAAAGAAGGCTAAGTAAGGTTTATCCAATGAAGCTTATTTAGAGAAAGTCATGGTACCTTTGGATACTGCTGTATTATTATATTATATATTACTTGAAGACAATAAAAGCCAAATTTAACTAAAAATATGTTCCTTTTCCTGATACAGCACTGTTTTGTCACTACTGTTGGTGCTTTGAGGATTGTGTTCACGAGTGATACATGCCTGCACAGCTTCATCATGTAACGTTAGTTGAATCAGCTAAAGACCGCATGCATTTCTTGATGATACGGCGCATATCTGCGTACCTGAAATAAGGGCACAGAAAAAAATTTGTGCCATAATGATTTCAAATGACTGTATTACGTGTGACTCAGTCTGTACCTCTTCTTCAGTTTCTGCATCTCTCTTTCTTCTTCCTCTTGCAGCTTAGCAATGAAGCTTTGTAAAACAGGAAGCTCAAACTTGATGTATTGTGCCACCTTGAGGACAAAACGAAGTATTACAAAAATATATACATACAAACTTGCACTTTGTACTTGTCACACTGGCTGAATTCAGTGCCCTAACATACTACTCTTACTATTTCTATAATAAATAGTAAGAATTCAGTATGCAGTTTTTCTGACCTTCTACTTCAGCCAAAATGTGCAGTATACAACCAGGCACATTATATAGCTTAGAATATTTAATCCCAAAATGCAATGTGCATGACATTCCATTACAAAATGAAAAATTGGAATTAAAATGTTCATTTATATTTTATATATTTTATATGTATTCGGTTTTAGAAACAGAATAAAACTTGTTTTCACTAAAATATAATTTATATAAATAAATATAAAAATATTTTTTAAGCTTGGAAAATAGATAGATAGATAGATAGATAGATAAGTAAGGCCCTAGCATCCTCTAAGGAGGCAAAATTACTCAAAAATGCATTTAATCAATATTTCAATCAATAATTAAATATGGAATTAAACAGTTAATGAACACATAAAAATAACTAAATTAATAAATTATTATATCACCAAACAAATAATAAATGTAATACATATCTGTTGTGTGTCATTTTTAAATTAGTTTTATCTTTGCATTGAATGCATTTGTGACTTTTCCAAACAAACAAACAAACAAATAAATAATAAATAAATACTGCTGTTCAGAGAAAGAATTGTGAGAAAAAGTAAGCATCAATTCAAAGAAATTAAAATAAATGCAACATGATGCTAAAATGAAATAAAATGGACATGGACTAATTTGTTTGGAGATTTAATACTTCATTTATGAATTCTATGTTTTATTAACAATTTATAAATATATAAATATTCATTTAATTATTTAATTTTGAGTGACTTGGCCCCACATAAGACAAGCAGTTTGGGTAGGTAGGATAGATAGATAGCCAATGTGATATTTGGTCTCTTACATCATGGGTGACCTCTTCCACCTGGTCCGTCTCCATTAGGAACATTTTGCTGACCTGTTCACAAGGGCCTTGCAAAACTCTGAGCGCCAAAGGATGGTCATTAGGCTTCAGCTGATGTCTCTCTGAGTGCAGGGAGAGAAATATGAACTCAAGGACAAAGACAAGAATACTATGACACATTTAATTCCAGTTCGGACGTACCTCCACTGGTGTGGACGATATAGAGGCTGAATTCATCCGGGCTGTTTTCGATCTTGAACTTGTTAAGCAGCAACCGCAAGACCTGTGCTGTCGTCATACAGCTGTTGACGCGGACGTTGGTCACAGAGCCGAACTTAGGCGTAAAAACCGCCGTCTGTTTGACAGAAACAACTGTGAGCAAAAGGGCTTACTAACGTGCTTACAGTTCACGAAACACGACGCCCACCTTGTGGTTATAAAAGTGGCCGTTGAAGGAGCATCGGTTTCTCTTGACTCTCCTGATTCCAAGCCGTCGCCCGCTGATTCTCCTTCCGCCAACATCAGTCTTGGTCCTGGCGAGCCGATCGGAGCGTGTCGACTCCTGCTGCTCCTCCTCACCTGCCAGACGAGCTTTTACAAATCCAACGAGGCAGACACAGTCGTTCAGATATGATGCGTAGACAGGGAACACTGCTAAGTTTTTAGAAGAAAGTCAAGAATGTATTCACCTGCCTCTTCCTTCTCTTCACTGAAGTCTTTTGATTGGTCGTCTGCTGTAGCGACCTCACTGGAAATAAACGATTTATTTCATGATTAAAAAAAAAACCTTCATAAACAAACGTTCCGGAGAAAACTATTTTTTGCATTTGACATATTTACAAAAGAAGTGTAGGCCTATAGGGCAAGTGTTCAAATTTTTACTAAAGTGTTTGCTTAGATGAATTATTGTTTATCTGTAAATTAGCCTAAATATTTATTTATTGTGGAAATATAATAAGCAGCACAGCTGCTGTCAATATTGATAAATATTTACTGACCAGCAAATCAGCATATTACAATGATTTCTGGAGGATCATGTGACACTGAAGACTGGAGTAATGGCTGCTTTGCTAGCTCAGTAATAAATTAAAATTATATTTACATATATTTCAAAACTTAGGCTATTTAATTGTAATAATATTTCACAATATTATTTTCACTGTATTTTTTATCAAATAAATGCAGCCTTTTTGAGCATAAGAGACTTCTTTCAAAAACGTAAAAAAAACCCATCTCACTGACCTTTTAAAGTAGGCCTAGTGTACAAAAAAGATCAAATATATATTTCTATCAATTTAGTCTCAGGTCAAAATATTTTGGCCCTACTTTCTAAACTACAAGCATAAATGTGCATTTTTATTCTAGTTCCACTGTGAAGGCAAAACAAAAAACACATTTTTGATTGTTTTTACAAACTAATTAATTTCTGTGGTTATTCACAGATGTTGTTGATGTTAACTTATTGATAATAACCCAAAAGCACCCATAAAATAATACAAATTATATAAATAACAAAATAATTCATAATATTAAAATAAAAATCTTTCCTTGCATTAAACATATGTAAATATCTGACTTGAGTGTGTTGGTGTCCGTTTCGGTGCTCAGAGATGTTAGTGAGGGCCTGCCTGCCTCCTTCTCGTCCTGCATCTGCAGTCTGATTGGCTGCCGTACGCCCCAGAAAACATTGAGCAAACCCTCAATGATCAACTCTCCTTCCTCCTGTGAAAATCACATAATCAGATATATGACATCCATACAACAGGCTGTAATTTACCAACTAACCAACTAACCTCTCTGTGTCTCAACTGGAGAGCTTCTCCTTTGTAATAAAGGTTGTATGTGTTGAGCTGTGAGAGAAGAATGCTCCTGCAACCAAAAAGGAAAAAAGAAAAGAAGTCAGGCTTACGAGAACGGTAAGAACAAGAAACCTTGCAGTAACATAGCAAAATGCACTTACTTGCTAACACATTTGTTTTCGCCGATCTGGACCTTGTCTGAATCCTCACTGTCCATGTCGAGTGAGTGGAAAAACACTAGGAAGGCCTGTTAGGAATGAAGGGATGAACTGAAAAAGATTGTTTAAAACATCTCCTCTGAGAAAAAAAATAGTAGAAGAGAATCTCATGATTTTTCGCCTCATAATTGCAAAAGGACTGCAGGCAAGATTCTCACACACTGAAACACACACACAAACGGAACTGTCTTACACCACATTACTAAGCTATTAAAGGCTGTAACACACATTTAAGTCTAATATTTTATATTTTACCATTATTTAGAGTGACATATTTCATCCTTTTTATTGCTAATGCAAAAGTAATGAACAAGAAATGACTAGTACATCACAACCAAGCAATAACGTCACAGAATTTGCACATACACACTTAAAAATAAATGCTCTTCATTGGCAAATGTGACCCTGGACCACAAAACCATTCTTAAAGGGGTCATATGATGCGATTTCAATTGTTCCTTTCTCTTTGGAGTGTTACAAGCTCTTGGTGCATAAAGAAGATCTGTAAAGTTGCAAAGACTAAAGTCTCAAATCCAAAGAGATATTCTTTATAAAAGTTAAGAGTCAGCCACGCCTACCTAAAACGGCTCGTTCTAACACGCCCCCACATGTCTACGTCACTATGTGGGAAGATTTGCATAACGCCGCCCAAATGTGCACGCAAAGAAAGAAGGCGTAACTTTTATTCTTGCTGTAGTATTGTTGTTGCCGCCACCATTTTGTGAAGGCGCTGTGTGCTTCGTTGTGAAAGCGAAACTACATTGTTTGGCCTTCCAAAAGAGGACGATATCCGCTTCGTCATGCCTAGAGCTGATCCGTGCTGGTCGCTGAGGAAATACAACAACTTTG